ACGCTTTTCTTCATCCCTTTGAGTGCCGAGTAAAAAAGAATGTCTGCGGAGCTCCTATTATCCACGAGAGCTCGCGTGACCTTGAATTTGGCGGTTCGGAATGAAATGACCAAAGGATCCTCCGTGTTTTCCTCTTTGGCTAACTCAGACGGTAGGAAGGTCACGCCAGTTGTCATTCTTCGCTGAACATTGAGGCATTGAGCTATGCGGCCTCATTCGGTCCGAGACCGCTTTCGTCCACCCGCGATGGTGATGACTTCCATTCCCTCATCGTCGTTGCGATGCGGTCGGTAGGCTGGGGAAAGCCTTTGGGGGGAGGCGACCTTGTTTCTGGCTGGCGACCTTGATCTCTCCTTTCTCGTTCTCCTTGTTTTCTCTGTGTCTGGGCTGCGGGATCCCTCGCGCGTCTCCTGAGAATGATCGCGGTGTGAGCGCCTTGTCTCTAGACGACTTTGCAAGTCTCCCGGAGCCAAATATCTCAGGCTAGCTTTGAATTTTCGGCACTCAGTGGTGTCGTGAGTGATGATTTGATGCCAGTCGCACCACTTCTTTCCGTCTTGCGACTCCTGCCCGGAGGACGCGTCTTGTTTCCTTCCCCCTCTTCGTCGTTCCCTTCCTCTTTCACGGTCCGTGGAGAACACTTCCTTCTTGCCCTCGCGATCGTTGTATCGGTTTCGGTATGGCTTTCGTTCTGGAGAGCGCCTTCCCCGCCTGGAGTCTCCTCGCTCTTGGTGTTCTCGAGGGCGACCTTGTTGAGAACGATCATCAGTAGCTAGTGCCTCCTCCAGCAAGATCGCTCGTCGTACCAGCTGGTCTAGATCGGACCACGATGTCAGAGTGGTTTTCTTTTTTATCAACGTTCTTTTGAGCTCGATACTGGTTGTGGATATTCTGAGGTTTTCGGCGGCCACGACTGAGGAGATGTTGTCTACCTCGCATGCGATCGCGTTCCAGCGATCGTAGAATTCGGCAAGCGACTCTTCCTTCCTTTGTCGACAATTGATGAGGGTTGAGACGGTGAGCATGCGACGCCTTTGGGATGCGAACTTCGTAGAGAAGAGCATCGCAAATTGCTCAAAGTTCTCAATGATTCCTTCTGGGAGAGAAGTGTACCAAGTGCGGCACTGACCGCTGAAGGTAACGGCCGTGCATAAGTCCGAGTCGGACTCATTAATGAGTTGCATTTTTAACATGAAAGCGCACAAGTGATCCGTGGGATCTGAGGTCCCGCTGTAGGTGGGCAATCCTAACGAGAAGAAGTTAGGCGGGACCGGAGTCTTAAACAACTCTTTTGACAACGAGTTTTGCAGGACGTTCGAACTTTTATGCTTTCCGTAGGTAGACCGCAGGTGCTCTTCAAGGAAACTGAGGTCCACTTCTTCTGCTTCCAGTCCTTCGCCTTCCGTCCGAGCGGGGCTGTCGAGGACGTGGATAGCCTTATGTCTTTCATCGCGCGCCTTTCCCTTTGAGCCCTCTGCTGGTTCCTCCCTCGTTTTCAAGAGTTGGAGAATTTGGGAGAGGCTGTCTTGCATGCTTGCAATCTGTACACCTTGATTCTTGACTACTCCTTCGAGTTCACTTTCATCTTCTACTCGCGGTGATAGACCTCGGAGGGTGTTATTCTCGGTCATCCCTTTGAGAGGGGTTTCGAAATCATCTCCTATCTTTTCCGCAACGAAGTCGTGGGCCCCACGGTGGGCGCCAAAATGTTTGTGCCTAGATAGTACCAGGCGGTTGTGTGAGACACCACGTCCTCGTGCGGCTTAGATGGTCGAAGGCGGTCTCCGAAACCCTGCAAGAAAGGTCCTCAAGGGAATCCTGGGACCTCCTTCGATGCCTAAGTTAGAGAGAGAAGTGGATGTAAAGTGAATAAGAGAGAGAGTTTAGTCGTTGGGAGTTACCATAAATGCTGCCCCTTTGGGGGTATTTATACTAACTCAATGTACTATCAGGCGGTTTGGGATGTCAGAACGGATGTCTAACTTTCCCTGTTTAGAGGGACGTCAGTCCATAATGTCGGGCGGTCACTGACGTGTGTGTACGTCAGTGTCGGGTGGTCTTCTCTTATTGTGTTGGGTAGACCGCCCCTGCTTGGTCTGTTTTATCTGTGGGCTTTGTAACCATGGGCCTCAGGCCCACGTATCCTTATCCTGGGCCCAACACTAACAAAACTGGTAACAAAAAATTAATTTTAGACTAATAATACTAACAAAATACCATAACGGGCTACATAATACATGCCTACACGCCATCTCCGCCCACGACAAGGTGGGGCATCTCCACCTAGTGAATTGGGGACTCGGATTCACCCATTAGGGGTTAGGGTATAGTATCATGTCCCAAACTCCAATTAATTCTTTGTCTAAATAGCAAAACTCAATGGGGCGTACGGTAGGCTAGCGTACGCCCGGACGTACGCTAGCCTTTGCCATATATATATATATATATATATAGGCATTTCCCTAATGTTTTTGCAAGAGGGTTTGTGGAGAGAACTTCTCATGATTGTATATTCTAAGAATATCTTCAACTTGATGCCAAAGGGGAAAAAAGTCCGATTAGTTAGAGTTAGAGTTTTTTTTTTGTGAGGGGGGTGATCCCTTGGTGGCGGAGGTTATTTGTGAGGGGGGATGGAGGTGGTCTGATAAGAAGCTCAGTCAATGGTTTGACCCGCTCACCTGTAGGGCTATTAAAGCTATTCCTCTCCCGCGTTGGGATGTGTCTGATAGGCTTATCTGACATTTTACTGCCGACGAGGTTTTCTCGGTTAAGTTGGCTTACCATTTGGCTGTCGATTTGGACAGGAGGAGGGGTGGGTGGCGATCCTCGGATAGCTGGATGGATAAGCCCAGTTGGATTAGAGTTTGGGAGGCGAAGATCCCTCTAAAGTTGAAGGTTTTTGTTTGGCAAATTCTTAATCGGGCTCTTCCGACTACGGAGGCGCTTATTGAGAAAAAGGTCCAAGTGCTACCTCGGTGTCCAATTTGTTGGGATGGCCCGGAGACAATGGAACACCTGTTCCTTTATTGTCCGGTTGCGCGGGCTCTCTAGGATTATTCTGAGCTGGAGTACTTGGGGGAGGGTTTGCCTCGACATACTTTTTCTTTGTTTCTCAAACGTCTGTTGGCGTTTCTTCATCAACCGTCAGTGGTTATGGCTGTTGTTGCCATCCTTTGGAGGATCAGGCGATCTCGAAATTGGGTAGTCTTTGAAGGCAAACAATTTGGGATCCCGGCGCTCATGCGACAATTTAACCAACAGTATGAGGAATGGGTGGGTCTACCAGCGGACCAGGCGCCTAGGGTGCAAATCCCGATGATGCAATCTACTGCACAAGTGGGCGATTCCCATTTGGTTTGCATGTGGGACGGGGCTACTAAGGGTTGGTCGCATTCGGCTGGTGGGATGGTTCTTTTTGACCCAGTGACACTCCTTCTGGCTAGAGGGGTCCAGTTTTCTCAAATGGATCATCCTATAGTGGTGGAGTTGCTTGTTCTCAGGGAAGCTATTATTTGGTGTGTGGAGCAAGGCTTGTCGGAGGTCCGATTTGAGGGCGATGCGAATGTGATTATTGACAAAATTAATCAAGCCGATACAAGAGATAGCTGGTTGGGTGCTGTTCTGAAAGAGATTGGTCATTATTTTCGTACTCAGCCTGGCTTTAGTGTGCGTTTTGTAGGTCGAGAGAACAATAGGGTAGCTCATTTGGTGGCTAGGAAAGCACTCTCTTTGTACCCGACTATGAGTCGCTTCTTTGATTTCCAGACCTGGCTGGTTTCCAAGGTGTAATTGTCTATTTTTTTTTATCAATACATGATATCTTTTAAAAAAAAGTTAAGAGTTAGAATTAGAATTCTGGAAAATGGTGTCCGAGCCGTCATTTTAGACTAGGATTGGTAATTCTGGCCGCCATTTTCGGATTAGCCTTACAACTCCATTTCTTGAGCCGGATCCAACTAGAGTGTGGTATTGTGGTCAAGAATTAAGTTTCCTTGAGTCGAACTTAGTTACTCTAGATTCACTTCTAAGTAGGGATGGCAATGGGTCGGGTTGGGGCGGGTTTTGTCAAACCCAAACCCAAACCCATGGGTTTATCCGCCAAAAAAACTCTGGGTAAAACACGTTGGGTTTGAAAAACTCAAACCCAACCCAACCCGCTGGGTATCCGCGGGTTCATGGGTACCCGTGGGTTTTTGTGATAAAAAATTTACAATAACAAGTTTCTTTCAAAATAAAAGTTTAACATCAATTTTCTCATACAAATTAATCATATAAAAAAACACAAATCTAGAGCATACAAGCAAACCGCAAATGATCAATACAAATTGTTCAAAATTAAAGATAAACATCTATAAACAAAAGATTAATTGAAAGCTTCTTCCTCGTCAACTAAGCTTCTTCACTCTCCACTTAATAATATCAACTTCATTCTAAACAATTAGAAAGAACAAATTATACATGTCTCCACAAACATAAAGAATATTAATTGTTTAAGGAAGATATATTATTTAGAATATTAAATATACCGGGAAAGTAATTATATGTGTGTGCGGGTACCCATGGGTCGGGTTTACCTAAACCCAAACCCAACCCGACCCGGTGAATAGTGTAGCGGGTTTAAACCCGAACCAGATCCAAAACCCGTCAACATGGATTTTACCCGCGTTGACCGGGTTGGGTCGGGTGGGTACCCGTGGGTTCGGGTTTTGTTGCCATCCCTACTTCTAAGGGTCCCTTTTATTCTTTGGTTTGCAATGAGCTAAGTTGAACAAAGTCCAAGTCATTTTAAAGTGGCACATCATGAAACAAGCTTCATATCCATATCGAGTTCATTTAGTGTATTAAGTAAAGTTTATAATCACATACTTCATAAATTTTCAACACTCATATAAACTATACGTGATTTAGCTTGAATCGCAAGAGGTTGTACGTTATACCGATCAATAACTCAAACGACTTCGAACGGTTGGTGGAAACTTTATCAACAAACCATTTTTTTCCACAATTATGCTTATAAGGTGTGACCAGAATGTGCATATTGTGATTCGATTGTGTCAGTACTACTAAACATACGTGAAAATCAACCATTTCATCTATCAGTACTGCATGGCAAATGAAAATCGAAAAGTAAGCACAATCGTGACACATGCAGGTAGAAATGAACATAACAATTCAATTAAAACTATACATGCAAACCTGCTATTTTCAATACACAGAAAAACACCCACATCATGATCTATCCTTTCTTTCTTTCCTTCCAGTTCCCAGTTAGATTCTTCTTCATCAAAGTTTTACATACTTAAAACATATCAACGTCGTTGCTCTTTCTTTCTACACATTCTTCGTCCCACTCGCTCCCCTCACCATCGATCCAACAACCCATAAGATCCATGCTCACCCATCACGCCAAGCACAACCGCGACCGCAACGCAAACGGTGAACAAACTGACTTGATGCGACCTGTGACCCGCACCTTTCATCGGAATGTGTCTCGGCAACGCACACTCCTCGCCGTTAAATATCACCTTCTTCGGGAATCCATCCCCGCGGGGAATGTTGATTCCCGGGGTCTGCTTCTTGGTGAAGGAGATTACCGACTGTTGCTTCCCTGGGATCCTGGGATCCCAGGGCCGCGACCCGTTGGTCTCCCCCACCAAGTAGTTCAGACCTTCCAGCCCCTGAAAAAATATGGTCTTGTTCAGCCTGGGCAGCTTGGTCCCATTGAACGAGTACACGTTCTCGTACCCCGGGTACGCCCTCCCCATCTGTATCGCCGCGAACCAGTCCTGAAACGGGATCTGCTCCCAGTTGAACAGGGTTATCCTGGCGGTCCACCCGCTCGCGTAGTCCGAGTTCACGTGCCAGTTAATACTGACGGGACAGTTGTCCGGGCAGGGCCTCGGGTAAGGCACCCTGCGGTGCTTCAACCTGGCCCATGCAATCGCCTTCCTGGTCCTGTTCTCGAACGGGACCAGGAGCGCGTCGGGAGGCAACAACATGGGGTCGCCGGTCTCTCGACAGCCCGTGTTGTCCTGGCACCCGCACGCGCAGGTGTTGCACGGGATGGCCGAGTCGTTGTAGTAGGCGGAGAAGGAGACGCAGCACCGCGTCTGCTTGGCTTTGGGTCGCGTGATGTTGCAGGCGACCGACCACGTGGCGTAGGCCGTGAAGGTGGACTGCAAACCGTTGGGGTCGGGGAAGTTGGTCGGTTCGATTCGAACGGGCGGACCGCATAAGTACTGGGAGTTGAGGATCCCCTTGATCTTCCACTTGAGGGGCGGTTCGAAGGCGGTTCGATTGAGATTGGGAGGGAGTTTGTAGACCTGCATCTGGAAGATGGCGCGGGCGCGCTCCTCGTCCATGATTGGAGGGAGGAGGGTGCCGTTCTTGCAGCAGTAAGGGAGCTTGCCGATCTTGGGGTCGTCTTTTTTCTCGGGCGGGAGGTCGGAGATGATGGGGTGCTTGTCGCAGCTGCTGACGGTGGAGAAGTCGAAGTCCTGGTAGTATTTGCCGACGGGGCCGTAGATGCACTGGGCGAGGTTGCGGGTGCGGGTGTAGGCGCCGCGCATGGAGTAGATGAACTCGTCGTGCTGCCACTCCCAGGTGAGGTTCCAGTGGTCGAGGCGCCCCAGGGGGTTGTTGTTGTCCATGGTGATCTGGGCTTGGTAGTTGTTCCCCCAGGCTTGGAGGATGTCGTAGGTGAAAACCAAGTCGCCGTAACGGCGGGGGAAGAACTTGATCTTCTTGTCCTTGGGCAGTTTCTTCTTTGCCTTGGCCTTTAGATCCACCCTGCAACACACCTCCATGTAGGTTTTGCCTGCACTTGTTTTTGTACAACATGTTAAAGTTGAATTTGTACTTCTATAAAAAAAATTTGTACGAAAAAAGTATAATTACAAACTAAAATTGTACCATAAAATTGAAGATATGAGTTCGGTTTCTACCATAAAAGTACCAACATATATATTAAGTAGAAACTAAATTTGTAACATAACGTCAAAGATACTAATTTGGTTTGTGTCGTCTAAGTTCTAACCCATTGTTAAGGAGAGCATAATACTAAGCAGTGGAGCCGATGTCTCCAATCCAGTGTTAACGAACAAACTATCTAATCCCAATAACTCGAGTTGCTGAGAACATGTTTGTATGAGTTTTTATCTTTTCAGTTTGCACAAATTCGTCATAGATCCATTGTGCTAAAGCGTTGTTTATATTAGGAGTCCTACCTACCATGACGTCTAAATCAAACATTTTGCTACCAAATAAATCATATGTATCGTAAACTCGAGTCGCTGGAAAAGGGTTTGTACCCACCTTTCTTTCTGGGAGCGGGGCACTTATATCCATCGTTGACGAGCTTAATGGTCCTGGGCATGGGAACAGCTTTCGCGTTCAGCCCAAACTGCGTGCCGGTGATCACAATCTGGGCCATGATCTGCGTCATATCCCCGGCCGTGTCGATCGAGCTCTTCAGATCGGGCATCGTGGTCCCCACAAACGTGGCCCCCTTCCCGATCGACGTGGGCAGATCATCACCGTCCAACAGTGCGCCGCCGTCGGCCGAGACGAGGATCTCCCGGTTGTGGAACCCGATGAACATCTCCCAAGCCTTCAGCTCGTCCTCCCCGGTGTTGAATATCGCCGCCGTGGACTTGAACGCCCACGCCTGCGCCGTCACGTTCTTCACGTGCGGGAACTCTTTTTCCCGCGACGTGAACGCGTAGGTCAGGAACACGCCGTTGCACCGTGCCAGCCCCGGCGGCGGGGCTATCTGGGCGGCGTCGCCGCCTCCGTCTCCTCCTCCGCCGTCTCCTCCTCCGCCGTCGCCGCCTCCCCCTCCGCCAGCGCCCGCGTCGGCGTCCTGGCCTTGGGAAGCTTGTAATTGCAGCAGTATGAGGATGGTGGTGATGAGAATGGATTTCCAGGGAACCTCCATTCCCAAATTGGAAACCATAGAAACGACAATTTGTGGATTTCGTGGCCTCCCTCTCTGCTTTCTATTTGTTTTCTCGATACGTGAAATTCTGGGAGTTCAGAGAGAGAGAGCGACGAAGGGGGGGATTCACTGAGAAGGAAAACCCAGATCGAATTAATGTTGTTTGTTCTTAAATTAAGAGGAAATTCGGGAGACTCAGTCGTCGGGATGGATGGGGAATTTCTGGTGTCTGCGGCTCCGCTCATTATTTGGCGGGTGATTTGTTTTTGGTTTTTACCTTTTGTTTGTCGGATTTTAATCTCCTCCTTCCCTCTGTGAAATTTCCTTCTGTTTTGTTATTGGTTTTTTTGTGCGGAAGTAATTTAATGGAAACATAACCAACTCTGCCATTTTAGGATCCATAAAATTAACTGGAGTCCAGAACTTTTGTACGGTAGGGTATAGTTTTCACTGTTAGATTCTCGTCGACAGTTCGATTATTTATTGACCGCCGAATTTGATTGTGTAACTTTATCATGATGGCATCCTCATTTTCCCTTCGTTTTGTTTCCTTCTTTATTTTCGCGCTCTATGTACCTGACCTAGAGATTACGTATATTGCCAAACAGCTATTGATCATTTGAAATGACAAAGTTAACATTCAAACACGAGTATTTTGAAAACTGAGCTGAGCCGATCAGATAACGACATAAATCTATCAAGCTGCGGCTCAAGAGTACTTGCTAGTTGCTAGCTTCCCAATCCTGTCACTAGTTTCCCTTTTCTCGATCTGTTTAGTCTCTTTCAACTAATTTACACAACTACAGTAAGGTCTCGTATCTCATCCTTTGTCATCTTACACCAACACTGCTTCTTTCAGTCATTTTCACGAGGCCACAACGGTTAAGCTGCAGGTATTGCCTCGACCACGTCGCTGACTTCCTCGACAAACTGTGCTTTTGGCTCCAGATCAATGAATTGGTTTGACTTGCTAGCTAGATGTGATATGCTAACCCTCCCTTCGCGCTTGATGTAGTCTGCAACCGCCTTCATCTCTTCCATGGAGATGTATATGTATTTTCCTCGATCATCCATCACACCTGAAAGCCGTCCTGATATATAAAGAAAACAAAAAGGGCAACTGTTTAGGATCTGTTCATTTAGGCAAGGAACTCCAGCTGTGGGGCTGCAGATGCTGCAACACCGAACAAAATACTCAATTGCATGCTACATCGTACTGGCAGTAGCAGGTGTAAAGTTTTAACCTTCAAACCAGAGACAAGCTACAACTACGGCAGCGGCCACCAACTTAAGCAAAGGACATGTCTATGAGTTACTTAGCCCAGTATATGCAAGAATGCAAGGAACGTTGGTGACGCATTACTATATAATTCAAGAGCTGCCTACTTAATACTTTTTTGGGAGGAAACCCTGCATACTTTCAGATGAAAAAGGTATACTGACATGCTAATGCATACTAGGGGGCAAACTACAGGCCAGTGAGGTACAAAAGGGACAAACTGGTTAAACAAGAGTAAAAGGAGAACTGAACGAGAAAGATGTAGCATATATCTTACCCATGCTTTCCAAGTTGGTGATTCGATTGATGCATTCCTGCATTTACAAAATCGTGGCAGAAAATTTCAGAGGAATGATATACTGGCATCTTTGCCCCAGGATATCTAGTATAGGAAAATGAGTAATCACATACAGGACTTTAAAAAAAAAGTAATCACATACAGCAAAACAGATGAGACTGGTCCCTCAAATTATGAACCCAACTTATTAATAGGGGGTTACATGGCTCTTAGTAAGAATAGGGCATTACACAGTTGGGACAAAAGAGTTAAGAGTAGTTCTTATCTTCTGCCAGCCTTTTGTGGGTAGAGTAATAGGAACATACCTGAGTTCGCATCTTAAATTCTGCAGCAAGATCTTCTAGAGGAACACATTTTTGCTTCTGAAAAATAGAGACCAAGTAAGATAAAGCAAACGAAATCTTAAAAACTTCAAAGCGTCATAATGAACCAACAAGTGTGTCCTGATTTGCTTGTTGATTACTTAAGATTTGACGGTGACGTATAGTTACTTATATGAGGAAGTGATAGTTTTGGAATTAGGGTCGCGCCGGAGTATGTTGCATAGACTTGAGAACAGGCAAGCTTGCAGGCTTTATCGAAAGACTAGAATCTCCTAGATCAGGAGTGTAGAGACAAAAATATTCTGCTACCTTTATGTACTCCACAAAATCGGACAGCAGATTTTGATTCCCATCTTGACCTTCGTTCTCCATCGTTCCTTCGTCATCAACTGAAAATGCCACTTTCCATTTCTCAAACTCTAATGCAGCCGCTTCCTCCTCCCTGGCTTTTTGAGCCTTGGCTTCTTCTTCCTGTATGAAATCTAATGAATTTCTTGAACCAGGAAGAAGATTTCCAAAATCCAAAAGGACAAGTATAGTTAAACACAGTCACCCACCAGCATACGCTCCTTTGCCTCGTGTTCTTCATCCTTCTTCCTCCGCATTTCAGCATAATAGTCTTGTTTGGTCGATCTTGACTCACGTGCAGCTTCATTGGCCTTCAAAAGATACGTAACGAATAAGATAGCATACCAACACGCTAAAAAGAAGGGGGAGGGAAGCGAGGACCTGCAATAACGTGGGAGCTGACCAGCATAAGAAAGAAACAGAAATAAAAGGAGTGTCAAACCCACAAAAGTACTCCAGACAAAGCATTCACCAGGGGTAATTTCAATAAGCATGCAAAATTTTATTTTTTGAAACTTTATTTCTTATCGGGATGTTCGAAAGTAAGTTAATCATTGTCACATCCTTGAAAAATAACAATGGAAAGGAGGCGGGTTCCTACATACAAGAACAAGTGTAACAGAAAGGAGGTTAGAAGATTGCACCTGTCTTTGTGCTTCCCGCTCCTGACGTTTTTTCTCTTTTTTCTTTGATGCTTTAGCAGTATAATACTCATCTGCCCCACCTTCGTCATCACTCTCATCCACATTGTCTGTCTCAATATTTCATCATTAGCACACTACTGAATCAGACGTTCAGTTTGTTCTGGCATGCAATAATCAGGTCTTGGCAAGCCACTAAAGGGTTCTAGAAAACAGGAATTTAAAATCCTATGCCTAAGTGCTGAGCCACAAACCAATCATAGATTCCCTTCACGAAATTCACACCTTCAGCAAGACACGACTAGATATTGGAGTTTCTCCTGTTAGCAACCACTACCAATAGTATCTCAGGTCTTCAAATGAGTCGTAAAGTTGGTCAAATCGGGTGATGAAAGTGAACCTTGTAGATGTAGCATAATCACTAAGAAAGAAAAGTGCTTGGCAGTTCTGGACGCGTCGAAAAGGTAACCACATATTTGAGAAGAGGAAGAGGTAGAGATCATGGGCATAAGCACTCCAACTAGACTAGTCCTCGTGATGGTTTAAGCACTGATCCACATGAACCACCAAAGTAGTATAATCCAGAGCCAGCCAAAACAATGGCCAAATGCGCGAAAAGGGATGTATGTTACAAACTGATCTACGCCAAAATGCAGCAGGAACTATAACATAGACCTAATTCCATCTGCTCCGGGGAGATACACCTAATTATGCGCCATAGACATCATCACATTGACGTTATCGCCACTACCGTCTTATAGATTTCGAAAGGTGAAAACGCCCTAGATTCAATCTTCAACAAGACAAAATATGAACTTTCAAAAAAAAAAAAAAAAAAAGGCAAAATATGACGAACCTTCAGCGATTGGTGCCGCAGCCGTCGATGAACTGGCTCCAGCAGCAGGTCTCCGCCGCATGCGAGTCCGAGAAGCCCCAGTGGCCCGGACCACGGCCTCCCTCGGCTGCGACAGAAATCGAACAGTCTCCGTAAGCTAAAAAAAAGAAACCCCTGAATCCGTTTTCTGAACAACCCAAAAACAAGCCACAGAGCGGAAACGCACCTGGGGCTCTTCTTGCTGTTCATCAGGTGATCGAGAATCTTGGCGGCGCTTCCATATGTACAATGGAATTAGACCGACGACGAGGAGCATAGAGAGAATGGCTACGAGCAATTCCTCCATGCTTGGATTCCTTGGCCTCCTGCCTCCCAAAAAATAAAAAAGTAATTAACCACTATATCTTGAGATCAAGTCGCACAGAAGAGGTTTACCAAACTGAGGAACAGAGGCTGGGGAGCTGAGGATCGGTGATGAAAAATTACCGGAATTGGGAATCAGAATACAAACGAATCATAAAGAAAAAACAAAATGCAAAGGCAAATTGTGCATTTTCCCCATGGACCGAGTACGGTCCATTGTGCATGGGTCTAAGAGTTCATCAAGCACCTTCAAAGCCCAAAAGAGGCCCAAGACAAATGTCCAACTTCTTTTCTTATCTTGGTTGTTTGCTTGATGGATTTGGTGATGGATTTGAATTTGTCATGGACTTTGTCCAAACTCCATTGTTTGCTTCATGAATTTTGCAGCAACAAATCCGTGAGCTCCATGGATTTTAAGGGTCCAAATCCGTGAGTACCACGGACTTGAAAATTCCACCTCTTTAGGTGGGACTTGATCATGGACTTTAAAGTTCATCATTTATGACCAAACTATTCCTCATTTTAACTTTCTCATTCATACCAATAAGGGCAATATAGGTCATTTTCACTTCATGCACGCATATCTAATTAAACAAATCCATCATGAAATTAATGAAACAAATAATGGTATTTTACAAGTCCATAATGAACCCAAAATCTTCATATATCCATGATTTTACAAAACTAAAAATTTACCAAAATTTTCATTTTTCAAATCAATAAAGCAAACGACCCGTTACTTCTGACATTTTCATAAGTTTATATTGCTTTGAGCCCTTGACTAGTTTGAGGACGTTCCTAGATCTCGTCACAAGTATTCATGCTTACTCTCCGAACTTTGATGAACATCCTGAATTTGTGTGGGAGTCGAGAAAACCCATCATTGTCAATTTTACTAGCACGGGACACCATGGTGAATTGGTGATTAGAACATATTCCAAAAAAAGTCACAAAAAGTGTATCGTTGTATCATATCAACGACGATGACAGTTTTCAAATTTTACATGCAAACAAATTCAGAGAAAGGTGATCCATTCACCCACTCCTTTCTCCATGCACTGAGAGGTTCAAATGAGTAAACTTGAGTTTAATGCAAGTATGATTGGTGGTACTCGAATCGAAGAAGCACGCTTCTTCTAGTTTGATTTGATCCTTTCCAAATAAAATTTTCTTTGATATAGTTCAAATTTACTTAAATGTCAAATAATCATCCACTTTCCATACTCCAATCTTTCTATCATGGTATAACTTGCAAACGGTCAATCTTAAAAAACAATTCTCCAAAACTCAAAATATGTATCATCCAAAATTTCAACAACCCACCTCAACAAAACATAAACTCTAAAGCATACTAGATTCGAGCCCGCCCGTTGGGCGGATAGCCAAATACATTGTGTTGATAGCATAAACAACAATAGTAATTGTTCAAAGCAAGTTACGTTTTTTGGTATGACAAAAATTATAAATTATTCTGTAAGTGAAAAAAAATAATATACATTAACATATATCATAGAGTTATTCGATGTTCTAACTGATTCTCTTATGTAATGATGAAACTAAATAACTAAATCTCTACCAGAGATGCGATTCCTAATTAGAAAAAATTATCAAACCAAACAAAAACAAAGATGTCCTCCATCAATATTATTTACCTTCTTATCAACAATTTCATTATCTCCATTATCAAATCCAGTACCTTCAATATTATCCGACACTTCCTCTATAAAAAGGCTCTTTCTTTTCTCCCGCACTTTAATGAAAACAGAAGTTTAATTAGAGAATGTTTGCAATCATGACACTGCATGTATAATTTTATTCCATTCAAGTCATTATATTGTCGACGATTTGTTGTTTCTCCACATCGGAACCTCTATCTCCAACATAGATAGTATCTTCTTCTAAACAACGTTATTATTTCAATCACAGGATCCATTAACTCCACTTTAGGAGACTCTTCTTCTCCTACACTTCAGCAAATTCAATATTTTCTTAGTAAAATGTTTGAAAATATGAAAATCACTTTCACATATGTAAAATTTCTAACGTCCAAGTTTTGAACATTTTTTCTGATTTGCTCTTTAATCCTTATCTTAAAAAATTGTATACTCACTTGTGATGTTCGTGATGCTGAAATGGATGAGTTTGTTTTCAAACTTTCACTCCATTCCCTCTATATATAGGAGATAAGAAGGTGCATGTCCTCATTGTCTTTATCTGGTAATACTTTGTCAAAAACTCGGACCTAGATCAGAAACATACAAAATTATAACAATGGAGATAAACTATTTGAGTCAAACAATTTGTGTTTTAAAAGGTATGATGATTTGTTATCAATTGAATGAATTTGAAGTTAAGAAGAATGAATTACTATTTAGTTGATATAGTCTTTGAAGTTCTTGCACAATTCACACAAAAGTACAGAATTTGACATTAATAAATATTATAAACCGATAAGAGTTGTCATTGATGGTCATACCATCATGAAACTTTTTTGTGCTCCAAATATAGATTGATCAAAGTCAACCACATCCACATGGATACGTATTAAATTGTAAAATGTACAAAATTTGACATTGATAAATATTATAAACCGATAAAAGTTGTCATTGATTAACATACCATCAGGAAAAAAATTTGCGCTTCAAATATAGATTGATCAACACATGAATATATACTAAATTGTAAGATGATTTGACATTGAGAAATACTATACTTACATTACAGGTTAGAAGATGGAATTTGGTCATTGTTTTATTCATTAGATAATTCTCCATGTTGAATGTTTGTTCAACGCATAGAACCATCTGGCACCTGTTGATTGGACTATATTTTTATTATGTAAAATTAACTTATCCTCACGCCTAACTATTTTTTATCTACAAAATGGTTTATTTTAATTATCGTAACATTGTACTATTAAATATTAGTGGTCTTTGACGTGTAACCTTAATGTAGGTTTATGAGGCCTTCATAGAGTATACACTAATTACTCAATAAAAATACCCAACACTCAATCATTGAAATTTTTTATGATTGACATAAGCAATGTACGTTGTTATGTACCTAATTAATGATTATTGACCGTTTGCTACGTTGTTAGACGCCTGCAATGCAGTCAATATCGCGCTTTAAACCTTAAAAACTTACGATTTTACGCTTTTAGGTCACAAAAACGCTTTCGTTTCCATATAAAAACTTAAGTGTATAAAATCGGACTTTAAAGCTTAAAAGCTTACGGTTTTACGCTTCTAGTTCACCAAAACGCTTTATGTTTTTACGCTTTTTAGTTCACTAAATGAGTATTCTTATCATGAAATTAATTATAAAAAGTATATTTTAAAAGTAAATCACCAACAATATGATACATTTGAGATTAGAAGATACATATCAGGTACTTGGATGCATTCTCAACTTCAATAGAGTAATCTAATTCACCAGCTAGACTTTTCCCAAATTCATTAGCATAGAGGGAAAAGTGGTTTATTGTTAAAATTTATATTTACGAACTTATTATTATGATGCTATAAGTTGTTCTACTTTAGGCATGAATCGCATGTATTTATTAACTTATCTGTGCATTCATATTTTGCATAGCATATGTCCTACTTAATATATTTTTAGTTATTTTTCAGTATGCATCAAAAACTTACGCTTTGATTCTACGCTTTACGATTTTATCCGTTTTCCGCTTATAGGTAGAATCGCGCTTTTGACTGCATTGGACGCCTGTGTTGAAAATTTCAAGCACATATATCATATCCACTTAGGATAGTTCAATTATCTAATCATAACTCATTCATGAAGTGTATGTTTACAAACTCACGATGTAAAACATTATTAACTTTATTTCTTAACTATAATGCTCGAATTTATTATTTTATACAATATACATAAACTGATGATTCTAAAAAAAAAAAAAATTCGAGTTCAAGGAACTTGACACATCATCGACCATTCTCCTTTTGACATGGTCATTTAGTGTACGAAGCTTCTTAGAATAATTATAATATTTTAGATAAACCTGGAGTACTAAAGTAGGCACGTCTTACTAATTTTGTAACCTTAATCTCAATAACTTTATAATTACCTGCTTAATTATTCCAAGCCCATAATACAGAATATTGATGAGGGGATAAAGAATGTGGCAGGTACATCATAATTGGATGTGCATATATGAGCCCATTGTTCCAAGAAAAGTGTCCCATTGTCCCATTTATGGTCCATGCATTGTCATGTATATATTGCAAGAAGCCCACCCGAAATTTGAAAGAAAATTACCATGGAATCCTTCCGTTCTATGCGCAGCGGCCAGAGAAAAGGGAATAGGATAGGTGATGAAGGGGAATCTCCATATAATTGTTGTTAGATATCAAAGTTTGGCCATATAATCAACTTTGGCCCGTGGTTTCAGAAATTAACATCCTGGCCTCAATTATGCAGCATATAGACTCAATTGGCCCGACACATAGTTTGACCGTCAATTTGGACGGTCAACTCCGTTGACCGTTAGTCAACACGCCATGTCATTGCCTAGTCAGCCTAAAAATCATTAAAAAAATGCAAATTTCAAATTATTTTTCTAGTTTTTCTTATTTATTATTAAATTAACCAAAAATCAATTATAAAAACATAAAATAAATTTGATTTTTTATTTTTTGGATGATTTGAAAAATTATAAATTTTATAAATTAACCAAAAATTATCAAATTATTTATATTTTTACAACTTCCCACCAAAATATAATTTATATCATAAATTTTAAATTTATAAAATTTAATTTGATAATTTTTGGTTAATTTATAAAATTTATCATTTTCAAATATCACAAAAAAATTATTTTAAATTTTTAGAATTTTATTTTTTGGTTAATTGTAAAATGATAAATAATAGAAATTAGGAAAATAATTTGAATTTCAATTTTTTTAATAATTTTTAGGCTGACTATGCAATGACATGGCATGTTGACTAACGGTCAACGAAGTTGACCGTCCAAATTGACGGTCAAACTATGTGTCGGGCCAATTGAGTCTACATGATGCATAGTTGAGGTCAGGATGTTAATTTCTGAAACCACGGGCCAAAGTTGATTATATGGTCATAGTTCGGGCCAAAATAAGGTATTAACCCAAGTTCAAATCAACATAAACGCAAACCATACGTCGTATTACAAATCTACATCGCTCTTATAAAAAAAGCCAATGGTGTTCCAAATTTTGTGACAAGTTGGCAAAACAAAAATTTAACCGTTGGTATTAATTAGTAACCCAAATTGTGTGAGTTGTTGCGAAAGCTCGATATTACATGCATCTTCAAAATTTAAATAAGATAGAAAACAAAGGTAATTAAATTCGTATCGACCAAGTAAAAATCTATGACTTCTTTCTTAAAATCTTGATTCCTTTCCAACGAGATTCCATGAGACGAGAATCATCATTCTGAGCATAGACTCCAAACTTGAAGTAGTGAGACTTGCCGCCGTGATCGGGTCCTTTATACACAAGTGATCTGTCGACGTAGACCTTGACCTCACCATCATCCACATTGTGAATCACGTTCAACCTGAACCATCTGTCGTAGATGTCGGGAAGGACTTTGGACCTGTAGATCGCCAGGTTGCCGCCGTAAACTCGAACCATCAGAGTCGAAGCGTGCTCGCTCGCACCGAAGACCTGCATTATGCACACACCAGATGTCCCGCTCGGGACGAAACCATGCCCTTCGAACTGCCACACTCCAGACGAATAATCGTATCCCTGTCAAGTCAATCACAAATTAAGTTCGATCAAAAGTAATGCTGTTTTTGTTTTTGTTTTACGTAAGTGCAATGTTGATGATGATGTATGCCTGCATGCTAATTTGGCTAGGCTTACGGTTATATGGACTTCTGTGCGAGGCTTGGTGGGGCTGTGTTGTTTGAATGGCTTGTCGTTGGAGTAAACCTTGAGCGTGTGGACGCCATTGGCAAAGCTGTAACGCTCCTCCTTTCGCAGGTCATACGGCCACTGAACTTTCATATGTGATGCAGTCAGAGGAAGCGCGACGTACCCTCTCGTGGGATCAGCATTTGTACTTCCACTGTCGACTCTTCCTTCAGCTAGAAGTAACAGCCATGAAAACAGCTGAATAGTAGAGATCATAATCGCCTGGAATCTGCTATAAGCTGTTGCTGCTGTACCTTTACAACAAACAATAGAAGCCATTTGATTAGCTAGCAAGGACTCGAATCTGATTTTGGCCGGAACATGCGGCTTGAATAATCAGTCATTTATATATTAGAGGTCTGGATTAGTAGTGTAAAGGGTTGATAGCTTGATAACAAATTTGGTACCTTGTCTTGTCGCAAGGCAAGCAGCTAGCAGAAGTATATAGTATGCGGTGTCGTACAGGACTGCTGCTCCTTCATTCGGCTTCTTGACTGCTGAACCGATGGTATATGTTTTTCTTTTCCTTTTTCTTTCCAAGGAAGAGAAAATTTTGAAATAAAAAAGAACATTCTCATCCTACGAAACTTACCAAAACAACACTAATGGAAGCATGCTACAAAGTCAAAGGAAACTAACGTTCAAATAGGCGATAACACGAGCTTTTCTCACCACTCTTATTGGACAACTAGGGGGATCCACCTAATAGAATTTTTTTGTGAGATCCAAAAATTTCCAGTGTAAAATATTCGAATACGGGACATCTGACACACTTATGATAATCGTAACCGATACACCTTCATTATATTACTAGCTGTTGCCTGCCAGGATATTTTTTTTGTGGTTTATATATATTAAATATTTAATATCATCCTTCAATTAATTTTAAGTTACAAATTATTTTGGTTAAATTACTCATCCTTTTGAATTTCTTCTAAATTTTGGTTGACATTTCTCTTACTCAATACAAGTCTTACGTTTTTATTGCACAATTTTTGTCTTTATGTTTGGCAATAAGGGGTGCAAATCCGAGGGGGTGCAAGTTGAGGGGCAAATTGCAGGAGGGTGTAAATTGATGGGGGTGTAAGTGGAGGGGTAAATTATTGTTTGGGTTAAAGACACATTTGGTCACTGAGATTACAAAATCGGGACATGTTTAGTCACTAGAAAAAGTTAATATCAAATTTGGTCACTACAATAACTAAAACTGGACACATTTAGTCACTCGCCATTAGTCTCCGTCCAACTCCGTTAATGAAGTCCGTTAAGTGCTGATGTGGCAAACAGAATTGCCTAATCAGCCGGATATAACCCAACAAAAATAAAACCCGACCCGCCACGTCATTATAACCCGCCACGTCATTAAAACCAACCCAACAGATGACCCAACCCCACCCAACCCTTCTTCCTCCTTCCTCCCACCTCGGCACCTCCCACCTCCTTCTTTCCCCAAAACCGAGTAAACTAACTTCATATGAATTTTCTTCATATGAATTTGATATTAATATGAAGATCTTGATTCCGGAGACGGTGAAGTCGGGGCGGTGGGGACGGTAGATGACGTAGACGGCCGCGCCGGCGATGGCGGCGAGTAAGAGGAGGGAGAGGATGATTAGGGTTATCTAGAAGCAGAGGCAGCAGCAGCTGCGGCGGAACTTGCACTGGGGTTGGGGACGCTAGGCGGGGCGGTGGGCTCCGTAGAGCTTGGCCTTCGTTGCGGGGAAGGCGGGAGCCGCGCGGGGCGCGGCGGTGGTGGTTGGAGGAGCCACGGCTGCCGCGGCGGGAGGTTTGGCTGGATAGACTCTGTCGGCCATGGGGATTTAGATTGAGGGAGAGGGATTTGATTTGTCTGGGGAAGTGTTTGGGCTCTGATAAAAGGGGAAGAAAGTGAAGGAAATTTTTTTTGGAGTGTGGTGGTTTTTGCTTAGGTCCAAAGGGAAGAGATTAAAAAGTGGAGCGGAAAATTTATTAAGCAAGGGATGTTGGCTGTGGAAGGTGGGGACTGGGAGGAAGGAGGGTTGGGTGGGGTTGGGTCATGGGTTGGGTTGGTTTTAATGACGTGGCGGGTCAGTTTTATTTTTGTTGGGTTATATCCGGCTGATTAGGCAATTCTGTTTGCCACATCAGCACTTAACGGACTTCATTAACGGAGTTGGACGGAGACTAACGGCGAGTGACTAAATGTGTCCAGTTTTAGTAATTATAGTGACCAAATTTGATATTAACTTTTTCTAGTGACTATAAACATGTCCCTATTTTGTAATCTCAGTGACCAAATGTGTCTTTAACCCATTATTGTTTGGATAAAAAAGTAGCGGGGTACAAATAGAGTTAAAAGAAAATATTATATTATTATAAAATAGATTTATCAAATTTATAAAATATTATCAAAAAATAATAAAGGAAAATAATTATATAATTGATATAATTTAATAAAAATAATTATTATATAATAATGCTCAAATAATAATTAATTATAACAACTGTAATAATTATTGGTCGATCGAACTCGAAGCCCAACTCGTAACTGGTCATGCTACAAAGTTCTGGTGTCTAATATATCTTTAAATTGAATATGGTCAAACTTAGTCAAAGAAGTTCTACAAACACTTCTTATCTCTAATTTTCAATGCAAATTCGAGTCAACCAAGAGATCTCTATTTGACTAGACTAACATTGATAAACTTGCTCTCTGAGTCAAACGGTCAACTTCGAACAATGTCTATATTAATGATAACTATAATAATTATAATTTCCATAAATTGATAATATTAATTATTATATAAATAAAAAATAAAAATTCATAATTTCCCCACCCCCCTCTCTTCCTTCCTTCCCTTACACCTCAATTTGGGGGTAAGCTGAAATAGTAATTCTGCACCTACAGTTTGCGCTCCCTGCTATTCCAAATTATCCAAACAAGTGCAAATGTGTTGAAAACTGTGTCTACCCCTCACATTTGCATCCTCCTCCCATTTACCCCTCTTCCCAAACAGAGTGTAAAACATTCAACTGTTGACTAAAGATTGCCTTAATCAAAATTTGTCGATAAACGTTATCTTAGATTTAAGGGTTAATACCCTAGTTTGGCCCGAAGTTTAGTGTAAGTGACAGTTCTGGCCCCATTTTTCAAATAAGACATTTATGGCATACTTTTGAAATTATTGGACAGATTTGGCCCGAAACTTGTGTTGACTGTTAATATTATCGGTCAAACAAATATTCCGTCAATGACTCAGCATCCAACGCTGAAGTGGCATCCACGTCACTTATTAATTAAAAATCAAAACATTAAATAAGAATTCAGAAGACTTATCTTTCCTCCTTTTATTCCGTTAAAAAAAAAACCTAACTCATATCTCATCCCTTTCTCTACGTTTCTACAGACTAGAGTAAAGATTGCAGACCCCCAACAAAATCCTCACCTCCCGGCCGCTCTCCAATTTTCTTTCTCTTCTTCTTCCTCTGAAAATGGCCACCGCTCGGCCGCTCACCCAAACACCATCAAAGACATTTCACATAGTACGTCAATCGGCTACCACTCTAGTAAATGCTCTGTTTTCTCGTTCGAAGATGGCAGATCTGAAAAATCCAACGCAAAATTTCAAAATCCAATTGGAGTCCGGAGATTTGGAACCCGACCCCGACGCCATCTCCGATGTTGTGGGCTAGAGCGACGCCTCTAGTTGCTTCCTGGTCCTTTCCTTCCGATGCCGACCAGAGATCCCAACCGTCGGCGGGGAGGTGGTGGCAAGGAAGAAGGAAGCAGAGGATGGGTTTTCGATGAGAAGATGACGGAGGGTGAGGAGAGAGAAATAAATCCCGAGTGGGGTAGCATCGTGGCGTCGTAGTCGTCGTCACCAACCACTACCATCTTGACTCCTGTCGCCACAATCTCTTTTTGCTTGAGATTGGAATTTTAGGGATTTTTATTATCCCCCCTTGCAGCAGCCACCACCGATCAAAATCGAAAAGTCCGGCGTATCCATCAATTGAGAAAGATGGATTGGTGGACGAGGGCGAAACAAGTGCGATGGGGAAGAAGTAAATGGCGGATTGTTGCGGTGGCGGACTTGCGATGGAAGGGGAAATATCGGAGGAAGATGGAGGGTCGTTTGCGGCAAATGAATGGGGGCTTTTTTCAAAGTTTAATTTATTTTATTTTTATGTTTTAATTTTTAAATGATGTGGACGAGTCTAGTCAGCAGTGAATGTTGAGTCACTAACGGGAAAAATGGTTGACCGTCAATTATAACAGTCAAATCGAATCTGAGGCCAAATCTGTCCAATAATTTTAAAAGTAGGCCATAAATGTCTTATTTGAAAAATGAGGCCATAACTGACATTTACATTAACTTCGTGCCAAATTAGGGTATTAACCCTAGATTTAACTTAATATATTATCTCGATTTCATAAATATTTATAAGAATTAAATAAAATCCGCTAAATTGAATGCTCTTTTAATGTCATTTTGATTCTTGCGTTTTGTTTATTTTATATAGATAATATTATTGGTAAAAAATGTCTGAGAGAGTTTTAAATAATGAACTCGATAGTATAATTTTAAAGATTTTGCTACGGTGACATGCATGTCACCGTGACATGGACTTTTCGGTCGACCTAATCCAACATGCGGTCGACCGAATGGACTAATTCATGTATGTGGGGTTCAGAGACGCGGTCGACCGCTTACATAATACGGTCGACCGCTTTGGTGGTCTAACAGAATGAAAGGTCAACCCAAATATCTCATAGGCCGACCCTTGTGCACCTAACAGGTCGACCGTATTATGAAGAGGTCGACCGCATTCACACCGTATCCGTATTGGATATGGATTCCAACACCAGAAAGGTTCCACAATTGGACAAGGAAACGAATTGGGTCGACCCATTCACGTCCTAAATCTCTATAAATACGAATATAAGTCCCCTTCAATGCCCCACCAAGTCTGAATTAGGTTTTTTTCCGACTTAGAGCCTTTGTGAAGAAGATCGTTCGCGGTTGCTGTTGTACGTGTTGGAAGTGGTCGACCAGGTCTAAGGTGCGGTCGACCTAATGTAGCATTCGCCGTCTTCTTTTTTAATGCGTGATTTCCACCGGCTAACTTGATATATTGTTAGGTGCAGAATTCAATTCGGTCGACCGTGACGTCAACCAGGTCGACCTGAGAGACAATTCTTCGTATTTGAATTTAGGCCACAACACTTGGACTTC